GGGGGGGGGGGGGGGGGGGGGGGGTTTTTTCTGTGGCGTGGGCTGGCTGGGGGCTGCTGGCCCCAGGGCGGTCAGGCGTTCCCCCTGGGATGGGGGAACAAGGGGTGCATGGAAGTGATGGTCCTGGCTCACGCTGCTCCTGCAAAGCTCCTGGGAGCTCGTGGCCTCCCAGCGGTCACCGCGTCCCTGTGGGCTCCTTGCCCCATCCCCGGGGCAGCTCCCGGCCAGCCCTAGGTGGGGGTAAAGACTTGTCCTGCTCCCACACGCGTGAGTATGGAGCCAGGAGCCACCGAGGGTGGCCGGTGAGCTCCAGCTGCATCGCTCTCGTTAACCCGGGAGCTGATCGCTGTGGGGGCACCCCAACCAGCGGCACCCCGGGGTTCGGAGCAGGGCTGACGTGGGCCGAAGGCTCTGTCTGTCCCAGCAGCCAGGCTGGTGGCAAGCAGCTCGTGCTGCCGCCAACTCCCCCTGCTCTGCTGCCGGCCCTGAGCAGCCCCGAGCCCTTGCCCTGCTGCCAGAGCCCCCTGCACCCCACGGGGGCCAGGCAACACCCATGTCCCATGGTGCCCCGTGGGCCTGGTGTCCCCGTCCCAGCCCCGCCACACCCTTCCCTGCACTGGGGGACAGGAGGGTGGCTCTGGGGGTACCTGCCCTTCTAGGGGTCAGCCTGCGAGCGGGAGCAGTGTCAGCCAGCAACGGGGCTCACGTGGGGGGCTTTGCTGCACTGCCCTCCCCGGGGCAAAGGCAGTTCCCTCACGCCCTCAAGACCCTCTGTGTCCCCCAGGGCTGGGCAGGGGCCCGGGCAGGATGAAGGGCCCCGTCCCACGCGTCCCTCAGGAGGGTGGACCTGCAGATATGCCGGGTGGGGACAGCTCGCCAGCCCCCGGCGGCTCCTTATCTGCAGCCAGACACGCCGCCATGGACCAGCACGGCTGGCGGGAGGGCTGCGGCACCCAGGGGTCCCCACACCAGCTCCATGGTGCCGACCTGGGGGCTGCTCGGGCCCCCCTCTGCCCCACGGGGTGCAGCAGGGTGCAGGGCCATGGGGCAAGGGCTGCCCCCGCGCGCCGTGGGTGCTGAGCAGGCGCAGGGGCCAACCCAGATGGGGATAGTCCCATCGTGCTCAGCTGGGGCTGGCTGGGCTTGGGGGACTCTTGGGGACACTTTGTCTGTGTCCCTGCTCTAGGTGCTGGGGTGCCTGTGCCACACAGTTTGGGGAGCACTACAGGCCCCCCCAGGACAGCTCTGGGTCACAGCAGGGGCCAAAGACAGGAGGGGACTGTCCCTTGCAGCCCCCAAGTCCCGGCATCCTCAACCCTGGGGACAGGCTGGTGCCAGGGCTTGACCCCGTGCCACCTCCTGCCAGGGTCTGGCCGGGCTGGGGGGAGGGTGGGTGATGCTGCCCCTGTTCCTGTCACCCAGAGGTGACAGCGGGTCTGGGGACACCTCACGTGGCAGGGCAGCCCCGATAGCCGAACGCTGTTCCTTATCGGGGACCCCGCACAGACAGGCCCGGCGGGGGGTTATCACCTCCCTGCAGGCGGCTTCCAGGAACGCTGGCGTGTCCTGGCGCAAACAACTGGGCGCAATGGCGCGGCGCTCGCTGCGGGATGTGGCCCTGTGGGGACAGACAGGGCTGGGGACACGCATGGCTGGGGGGACACGTATGACCAGGGTCGTGCACAGGCAGGTGACACTCATGGCCAGGGGCTGCAGCCGTTTGGGGACACACGTGGCCAAGGGACAAGTATGACCAGGGTCACGCGCAATGAGGTGGCACAGCCCTCTTGGGGGGACACATGGCCAGGGGGGCATGTCCTCTGGGGACACACAGCTGGGGGATACATCTCTCCAGGGGACACATGCCCCTGGGGGGGGTGGCACACGCAGGCAGGGGACATGTCCCTGCAAGCTGGGGGGGCACATCTTTTTTTTGGGGGGGGGGC